TGATTATACCAGCACTAATGCACCAGATTCCATCAGAACTCTGCAGTTAAACGTGTTTGGGTGACCACTTGGGAAGTCAGCGTGTTTATTTCTTTTACTCGTTATTTCAATTTCTCTCTGACAACCACACGTGCGTGCACCCACTGTTGCCTCGATCCTCTACATGCGTTAAATGCAATTTGTGCGCATTACATGTCATAGTGCACCCACTGTTGCCTCGATCCTCTACATGCGTTAAATGCAATTTGTGCGCATTACATGTCAAGTATGATTATATGAGCACTAATACACTGGATCCTATTAAAACTTTGTAATTAAGTGTGCTTGGGTGACCAGTTGGGAAGTCCTCATGTTCATCCCTTTTTTATATCTTTTACTCGTTTTTTTCAATTTCTCCCCATTCTTTTCTTCCTTTCTTTACAAATAACAACCGCGCCGGCCGTTCCGAGCACGTACATGCACCCATCGCGCCTTGATCATGCCGCCCCGCATACTTTAAATTCAATTTGTGTGCATTGCATGTTAGGTGTGATCATACTAGCACTATTGTACTGGATTCCATTAAAACTTTACAGTAAAGTGTGCGAGAATAGTGCTAAGTTGGGTGACCTTACTAAATAGGGAACTTGGAAAATAATATCAGGAATTTAGTCCTTCCACATTGAATCATAAACAAATTGTTTATTAGACTTAAGATGAAGATGAATCATAAATAAACGGTAAGTCTATAGTGTAGTAACTATAGTTAATGAATGAAAATAGATTAATTAAAAAGTTTAATTAATTAATTTGTATCATTGAAGTTTATACATATTCATAAGATTCCCTCAATAGCTTTTAGTAATATTAAAATGTTTAATTTAATTGAAAGAAAATTTTAAAGTGTTCAAATTAATATTTAATATATTATATATATTAAAATCGAAAAATACATGATATGAATCCAGAGACATCAATCATACAATATATTTCAACGAAAATGTGAAGAAAATGCGGTTGAAATTATCAAATTGTATTTGATACATTAACTATTAAAATAATTAAGGTACATTAGATACATTAAATAAAAGGTGACTAATCTCTCACACTTTCTCCCGAGAATAGAATGAAATTCTCCAGAGAATACTCTTGAAACTCTCCTTTTTCAATCCATTCGAGATTTTCTTTCAAAAGGTTCTCACAAGTATTGACTTTGTGTTCGAGTCATAACAAAGAAAATCTTGTGGAATGTAAAAAATTTCTACGTCGTTGAAATACATTAAGAAGATTTGCATGTTGCGGTTTCTACAAAGGTAGAATTCTTACTCTCATATTTATTGCTTTATTTTAATTCTTAATAAAATCAAAATGATTTTTAATGCTTCCACGGTGTGAAGGAAGAGTTCATTCCCTCCTGACATTCCTTTCACTATCTTTCTTCCGTTTAAACACATTTTAAACTGGTGGACTTGTGACTAGGCAATAAGTAAATGAGTCATATCTTTTTCTTTTTGATGGTTTCAGCTCCTTTTGCCTGACCTTATGCCATGTCGTCGATCAGTCACATTTTTCATGCTATGTCGTCATCCATCCACTCACTATCTTTTATGTGGATAGCCTCAAAATCGCTCCTCAAGATTTGTACATTTGCTTCTTTGATTCGTTTCAGACTATATGCATTGTTCACAACACTCTCACGTTGTTTTTACTGAGTTCTTCTCTACCAACATGAGAAAGACATCTTCTTGAATTTCTTGGTAGATGGCAGCAAATGTCATCCTATCCTTGTGTTCCTCAATATCATCACCATGTTCAATGGTGTCCCACACGCCTTATGCATATAAATTAACCCACATCTTTATTGTTCATACTATATAGTTATTTTTCATGAGTAATAGGTACATAAGTGTTACACTCCACTCCCTTCCACTTTTCATCTCTATTACAACTCCTTTAGCAACAGTATACACTAGCGACGACATTTGTTTCTACATCCCAGCACTGATACCATTGACGGGACAAACGACCTCCATAATCATATGATTATATTCAACATTAAATCTCATATTTTTGTTTTTGGTTCTCCAAAAAGTTCTAAGCTAATGGGTGTCCCTTGCTATACCCAGGATCTTACAAGGATTTCAATAGCTTCTTACTTCGGTTTGTGTTGCTAAGACAGAACAAGTAGAAGAAAGTAGAATTAGTAATGATAGGTTTAGAGAAGCTCAAATTCAAAATCTTTGCTTGCTTTACTTAAAACTTTGAGAACACAAATCAGGCTATGCAAATGAGGACAACTCAAATTCAAGGTCCTCAAGGACCATGGCAATGAGTGTCGAGAAGAAGGCCTATTACGCCTCCTCAAGAAGAACATGAAGATCCGTTTGAGGTAGGATAACCACGAAGAACGTGAATGACCATCCAAAGGAACTACCTCGTGATTATCAAGATTAAGATCCCACTCTTTCATGGAAAATCCAAATCGGAGGAGACTTTTTTTTACCACATTTGATCTTGTTTTTGTAAGTGATGTAGAAAGAAATGTATCACTAAAAAGGAAGGATCTAATAAATCAAAGGATTAAAGAGGAATAGTTTCTTTTGAGACTAGATTTATTTTCTTTGATGATTTAACTTAAATTACTCTGTGAATGTAGATCAAACCCAAAGGTTTGTAGAAGGACAAAATGAAGAATTTGAAGTCCAAGAAGAGCTATCTCTCCAATTATTAAGAAATTAACCGTACAAATTAAGGGAACTCGATTTCTTTTGAGGCAGGTTTCAATACTAGAATTGATGATGAAATGGGAGGAGTCATACACCTCACCCAATGCACGTAAGGTATCCAACTCATACGCTAACAAAGCTACAAAGAAAGTAAATAATAAGATCAAACGAAAGATAGATAAATATGATCCTGACATCTTCGACTTCAAGTCTCCATCGCTCTCTCAAGTAATCTCTGCATTAGGAGTCCCTTCGACTTTACTAGTACAAGGAACTCTTGCACATCAACAGCCGGTGCTTCGATCTGACACAACCTACACGCGCATCTATGCCTAGTTGCGCCACATGTCACACCGGCAGATAGAAAATCCCTTTGGCTTACACGGCTCAGTCTGCTCGTCTCGGCTCCGTGGAATATCACTCCCTCGGCTCGGTAAAGGAGAAATTGCCCATTTTCTATCATTTCGACCATCCCGAAGCTTAAATTGACTTCGTTCCAAGGCAATTAAGGTCAGTATAAGATTCAATTTCTCGATTTAAGTTAAATTGAGTTAAGGGATTTGAGTTACTAACAAAATGAGATGGAAGTTCTAATAGGAAATGACAATCGGTGATACTTGGAGCAAAAGCAAACATACTTGAATTTAGGGAAACGCCGGCTAAGGCCAAGGCCACCCAAGTAAGTGGTCTTACTATCATTTTGGTTATTATTGAATGTTGTATGATGACACGTGACCATGGCTTCACACGTGTCATATGCTCGTATATTTGAACGGTTATGAAATGATATGTGTACGTTATGATATGTTAATGTTGTGTTGTATGTGATGAAATGATTTGTTTACAGTAGGATATGTTTAAAGACATGCTCGTGTCATGATATGTGAATGTTATGATATAATATGTGCATGATATGATTTTATACGTTAGAAGACATGATGAGTTTATGATATGACATATATTCGACATAAATGATATATGATACGATTGATATACAATATAATGAATTGACATAATGCACAACCCCAATATACCCATGGAAGTTATGATAAAATGATATGATATAAAGAAAATCGTTAGAGGGGTTATTATACATGATAATGAAAGGGAAAATGTTGGGATCTCATACATCATGGTGTGTTCATGCATTGAGGGATACCCCTTCTCCTTTTATGATGGTATGGATGTGTACATTACGAAGTAGAAAAAGATCATTATGATTACCATAATGTTGCTACGATAGCCGCTATGCCTAATGGGTGTTTGGCATCAACAACTACCAGAGAATACTCACCTGACAAGAAAGGGGCCTAGGAGGTGTGCGAATCTACTAGTGGGTCCATACTCACACATGTGAACCATGTGTAGAATAGTAAATACATATCCAATTACGCGCTTAGGATAGTCCTCGTAGAAATATAGACTAATATAATAGATCCCACTCATGATTGTATATGCTTGCATCTAACCTCAATAGGGGTCACTTATTGAGTATTTTTTTAAAATACTAAGTCATGTGCTACTTTTATTTTTCCAAGTAAAGGCAAGACTCCCCTGTACAGCTAACGGTAGCATCACAACCTAGGAAATCGTGACACATACATAGGGTAGTTTGCAATTTGAATTTAGTAGACTAAAGGTTTGTACATGTTAGTTTGCATTTCTTTTAGTAGCATATAGGTTAGTAGGGGTCATTTTACTTTATATTATTTTTAATTTTTATTATTTTATTTAAAAACCTTCTAGATAACATGTAAGACCAAGATTATATTTTTATAATAAAGTTTTGAGTGAAGTATTTTCGCATAAAATGTTTATGCTATGTATACAGTAGTGACCTTAAGATAAGTAGAAATCTAGGACATTACATCGATGGTTCCATAATCATATTGATTTTAAACTTGAAAATTCTAGAAGGTTCATCGAAAAAAATTCTCCAATTAGTGGTTTACTAACCTTAGTTTTGAATTCCATGCGTTAGATCTAAAGAATCTCGAGTCTTCTTGAACATGCTCAAATTTTAGCTCAATCCAACAATTTGATCTTAAGATACAAGGGGTTTTGATCAACTCGTTCAATACGTAGCAAATCTAATGGCAGGGGTTCATAATTATTTTAAACTTGGGGGTATTCTGGGTCTTTTTTTCATTTTCCTTCATGAGCATCATACAATTCCTTATGAATTCCTAAATAAAGATGTCCATATTAGCATGCTCTCCCTGCCAAAGAAGATAAACATAAAAATTTGCATATTGTTTTACTAGAAATCATAAAGTCGTTGAGATGTAAAAGATATCATAAAAATGGAATTTGATATACACATACTTGCAATAACACAAATGGAAATCACATGATTGTTGCATACACACTAGCGTTATTCGCTTCAAAATTTTACAATATTTTAAAGATTAAATTTATAAATATAGAGAAAATTATTCAAGATTGGGCAAAGTGCCTGGATCTTCAACGGTGAGAGATGCTCCATTGTCTAGTGGAGTAAGATTAAGAATCATGGTTGCTGCTTTTGAAGCCCTTCATTAACAATAAAATCAAATATATGAATGCGTTCTTTGACTCTTAAAAACACTCGAGAAGTATAGATTTTCACAACAACTAGAATTGAAAAGTTAAGTACGTTTGGAGAAAAGCTCCCTCCCCTCAAATTATTCTTGTTGCTTGTGTTATTTATTTCGACATATTTTGATTGTGTGACATATTTAACAGTGTAACCTGTTTTTAGATTTAGTTCATTTGGTCGAAGTTGGAATAGAAATAAAAAAGAAGGAAATTTAGTGATTAATATTAATTTGTTACCAATGTTGAGGCGATTGATATTGTGGAGCAAAATGACCGAGACAAGAGACCAACATATCAGTATATATGATGCCCGGATCTAAGCTCACAATTGTCACTCCCTCTGCTGGGACTTCTTTTGCCACCGCTTTGCTTAGTCCTTCAACCGCCCATTTTGATGCACAATATGGGGAATACTGCAAAATAGAACCAAACCAAATAAATACTATCATCCTCTCAAAAACTAATAATAACAATAAATAAATACCAGTGCATGTGCAGTTCTCCCCGAAATAGAAGACATGTTGATGATAACCCCTTGCTTCTTAGAGATCATAAGAGGAATGAAATGACGCATAACATTGGCTATTCCTTTCACGTTGGTATCAATCACATTATCAAATTCTTGTGCATCCACCTCCCATATTTTACCATTTCTATTGATCAAAGCTGCATTATTCACTGCCAACCATATCCACAAATCCTTTACCTATTTGTTTATTCATTCAAAACAAGAGATTGAAACAAAAAGGAAGTGAAATACCAATGATATTTGGAACAAATTCCTTTTCTACAATGGCTCTTGCAAATTCTTCAACTTTGGTGTTGGATCTCTGCAAAATTCTACAAGTTTTATGAATAACCCAAAAGGTGAGATTAAAAAAAGAAGAAGTATTTGCAAACCACGTCAAGGTTGAAGAGGAAATGGTTTGTGGAAGATAGCTTAGCAAGCTCCAATTGAAGGGAATCAAGTTGAGTTTGATTGCGTGAGCAGCCAATAATGGTATGCCCACGGTTGGCTAGCTCCAACGCCAAAGCTCTTCCTAATCCTTTGCTAACGCCAGTTATCAACACCTTTCTAGGAGTGGTGGCCATTTTAGTGTTGGGTTTTGGGTTTTGGGTTTCTTAGAGACACTTGTATAGAATGATGAGAGTTTGAATGTTTAGGAGATATGGTTTGGTTGGTGTTCAAAGATGTTCAAAAAGCTGAGGTTGAGTTTTTTTTTTTTTTTTTTGTTTTTCCTTTCGTACGGTCCCTATATAATTGGTAAATATGGTCCCAGGATTTTATTGTTATGTAGCTTGAATTTGGAATGGCTGAAAATGGTGTCCCTTTCTCTTCGTTGCATGCTGCCAACAAATAGCTTTATTTGTAGGTAACTTGTGACCAATGTACTTTTCTTTTGAAGTTATGTATGGTTATGTTTATGTTAAAGTGTGTATGTTGAAATAAAATAGTCTTAGAATAAGGTATTTTTATTATAATATCATTTTTTTTATAAGAAATTTCAAACAAAAATTGCGAAAATTTACTAAGATTGAAATAGTGTTGATAACTTAAAATGAAAATTATGAATTATAGTTATATTATTGGTTTCAACCATGTATTGACCAATGGTGAGCATCACAGTTTTAGGTATCATTTCGATGAGGCATTTGCATTTCTTCTTTGCATTTCTTCTTTTTGGTGATTATGATGTTTAAAAGTAAGAGGTCCCTTGTTGTTCTTGAAAGAGAGGGGTAGTTGCTTTTATATTAATCACATTCGTAACTAATTTTTGATGTCTAATACCATCAACACACAAAGATGTAGGGTCAATAGTCTCTCTTTTTGTCTTACCGAATAAAAATTGAATCCTTGTTTTCTACTTTTTCCCGGAGGCAGCTGAAAAGCCCCTTTATCTCTCCTTATCGATGGCTATTTAAAAACTTTTATCAACAAATGCATGAAATAGATAGGTCTCTCCACTAAAAACCTTTATATTTTATCTCCCAAACATATTTTATATTCATTTTAATGCACATGAAAATAAGTTCATTCAAAAAATTTTAACTAAAATTTTATTAGTGGGTACGTATTGCAGCACTAGTCATTCACAACAAAATGTTTTATAAAATTAACAATTGGAAGTAATACTAAAGGTAAAAAAATGAATGGTTGAAACCTGTGGAAGTATAGAGACCAAATACGAGGATGTGGGGCAGGAAAAGGACAGGACAAATGGCTGCTGGAAATTCAAATGTTGGCCCTTCAAGATCTCAATCTTGGTGGTCGAAATGATAATTGTTGTAAACATTGAATAAGAGTTGCCTACAGGGCACAGCAGCGCCAAGCTTGATACAAGCCAAGAAAGCACCTGATAGTTTGCGGTGAAGGCTATAGGCTTCATCAGGTGGTGGGGTTAGCCTGTGCCGCAACATGGTTGCACCAAGGTTTGAAATACTATGAGTGATATTTGAAGCTCGAAAGTCATAGGCACCAGGCTTTGAGAATGGCAATCCCACAACAAAACCTGCTTGAACATGAGCATCCAACATCACCTCTGATTCCTCGCCTGTTAGAAATCCAAGTCTCCTTGACATTTCAATTACTGCATCTTTATCGCCATTTGCGCATGCAACAACCTAATTAAATAATGCATTCAAAAAAAGTGTTTTAGAAACATATATAACATTAACTTCCAATACAATACAAGATGGATACAAGTTCATCAATACAATTACAACTAAATTCTTAAACCTCTAGGTCCACTAGATATGCATAGCAAAAATTGGGCCAACCGCAAATAGATCTAAATGGATCCCTGCATACTCGAGATTTGTTTTGTGACTACATGGAACAGGTCCGAACGGATCTGGAATGGTGGATCTGAACAGCAATGACGATCATAGAAATCAACTGATAACAGCGATGAGCATGGGCAACAACGATGAGTGTGGGAGTGAGATGAAGTTTGAAGTTGAGAGTTTGGAGATACAAGAGGGACGAAGAGAGCACGAGAGATCAGAGATGGAGAGAGCTCGAGAGACAGAGATACGAAGGAGAGAGAAATCGAGACTAAGGTTTGAGAGACAGCTTGGTCTCAACAGGGTATAATTGTATCCTAAAGGAAGTATGTACTCGATCTTTCCAAAGAAACTGGTATGTTAGGATGCAAGCCAATAAAGTCTTCTACGGACTCACAAAAGAAACTTGGATTAAATCATGGGAGCACTCCGGTGAACAGGAGAGATATCAGCACCTTGTTAGGAATAACACCGCATCTTTCTCATACTCATCCAGATATTAGGTTTGATGTCAGCAAAGTTAGTCTCATTATAAATAGTTAATTCTCATTATAAATAGTCTCAGTGAAGAACATATGGAAGTTGTACACCAAATCCTAGGCTATATGAAGGTGATTTCCAGATTAGAACAGTTTTTTGAGTAAACTGATAAGAGAAACATCGAGGCCTACTATGATGCAAATTGCACAGGAACATCACAAATAGAAAATTTACCTCAGGTTATTACTATTTTGTATGGTACTCTTGCAACATGGAGAGGTAAAAAAATCAATCAGTGTTCGGCAGGAGTAGAATTCAAAGAACTTGCTCATGGTAAATGTAAAGGCAGATGAATCAAGAGAGTCTCGAGTGAATTTGGAAAAAAGTTGTTCATCACCAATACAGATGATATGTGACAATCAAAATTTGTAGAGTTCAGTTCACCATGATAAAACAAGAAATTGATCGATATTTCCTCTCCCAAAAAGTCAATAATGAAGTGGTTCGACTTAACTAAGTGCCTATCAAACAACAAATTAACTAATATCCTTACCAAGCCTTACCTAGGTCTTCACTTTGAAGATTTGAATAACAATTTGTAATTTTTTAGTATGTAAAACTCATTTTGGGGAAGGGTGTTGCAAATTAATGTCAAATTTAAGGCATTTTTTGTAATTAACAGATTAGGAAATTTCTCCTTTAATTATGTAATCTTTTAGACCTAAGGTTAAAAAGGATTTAATTAGGCTAGATTCTTTTTCTCATTACGATTGACATTTTTCTCTTCTACTATTTTTTATCAACACAAACACATCCTAGCAGTAACAACTATTATCAATTATACTCAACGACTATTGACTGGGTAGTTTCTCTTTACTAGGCAAAAAATTGAAGTATACATTAATGGATGGTGAATATAAATGTTGAATCTCAAATATCTGTAAGCCCACGTTGGAATTACTAGTCCTATAATTGCTCCAATAACTCCTCCAAGGAGTAGCTTGAACATTTCACAACTTAGCTAGATCCAGCCACCCATTAAATCATAGTGAAACCCTTCACTATCTAGATAAAATTGAACCCTAAATTCACAAATATGCCGAAGTAAACCGTGTACTTAACTAAACTTACTGAAAATGTCCAACAAAAGATCTTGAAAACAAATGCTAATATCTCGAATTTGAAACAGAAATAATTTCGAAGGTTAAGAGTTCATAATATTGTGATGAAACTGTGTGCTAAAAAATCAGGTGTAAAATAGGTGAGCTGAACTCAGCATGAAAATTACCATTCTTAAGTAGTTGTCAACAAAATTTTTAGGATAATCTCGAGCTGCTCCGAAGTCGATCAGATTAATTATTTTTGAGGCTTCATCATACACAAAATTACTCCAATTAGGGTCCGTCTGATACATTCAGCAAATAGAATCAAATTAGGACGAGAAAAATAATTGACAGAAACTTCAGCGAAAATAAAACAGCATAAAACGTATGAAATATTTCCACAAGAAAAGACATAAAATGAGAAGGAAGCATTAAAATCATTAAGTAGAGATATTGCATTGTTCCTAAGCTTTCTAGGAGCATACTATGACCATATGCAGTTGTTAGGAGCATTAGTATGATAAAATCAGAAATATTATTGTGATACCTGGACACAAAAGCCATTACGCAATAGACGATTGGTCAAGGAAAGGTAGTATAAATAGAGTGGGTTTTGATTCTGAACGTCCCCTTAAGGAAATTAATTTCAAATGGGATCATTAATGACCCCTTGGTAGTAGAAATTTCTCAATCATATTCAGCCATTAAAAAGAATTTCTGAATAAAAACTTTTGGGATTTTAAAGGATTTATCCAAGGAATTAATTCTGGATGGGGAGGAAGTAAATGCCTTATAGGTATAAAACTAAACAGCGGAAAGAAAACCCAGAAAGAAAATCAAGGACAAGAAGCTGTATCTGTATATTCTGAAAAGAAGAAAATGGCACATAGGTTCAAGAGAATCCAGAGACTCAATAAACCCTACAAATGGCACATGACTATTGGGTTTAGAGCCATGTACAAAAATAGAAAATAAAGATAAATGACAGGTCCAAAATCACCAAGGTTTACGAGTGATGTAGGCACGTGAGAAAGAAAGTGGGAGTGTTGTAATGCATAATTTTTGTGAGTGATGTAAACCCATTTATATTCTGTATATTTTCTAAGTTAGAATGTGGGTTTGGGGGATAGGTGGCTGTTATAGAAGCGAGTGTTGTTCTGTAGGGTATATTTTTGGCTGAGATTTTGTTGTGAGTCTCTGAGGAGAATTGGAAGAGACGGGAAGCTCTCAAACCTTCTCTTGATACATGTTAATAAATAAAATTTGGGCAAGTCCTAGGATGGAAAGTAGAATTGTTGAATTGGAGGAGAAGATGAACAATGTGTAACTGAAACAATTGGAGAGACAAGCCAAAGTAGACACCCAATTTGCAGAAGCAGGAGAGAGACAAGCTCTAATAACAGAGAAGTTGGATGCCCAATTGATAGCGCATACATAACTTACTATCTCTAGAATATATGCTAGTTTTGAGGAAATAATGAATTTCATGATATTATTTTTATGAATTGTAAATCTCAAGCATTTAGAGCAAATTTGAGGGATTTGACTAAATATTGAGCAAATTGGGCATGCTTTGGAGCTTGAAGTCAAAAGAAAAGTTATTGTAGCCAAAGGACTGCAGAGGATAGCGTTGAGACACTAGCAACAACGCCTAATGCCAAAAAATGCACCAAACAAGCTACAAGACCCGAGGCCACAGAATTGAGACACTATCCCTAACATCGAGACACTACAGATTTTGACGGGAAAATATATGTATGCTTGCTTTAGCCAATTTTGAAGAATAGATGATGTTTAGACACTAGCAACAACGCCTAATGCC